CAATTACAGCTGAAAGCAGCAGCAGATAGTTCACTCCAGATCTTGAAAATAAAATAAACCATTTGAAATTAAACTTTAGAACTGTGACTCAAAATAAAATACAATATCAGTGATTCAACATATACATTTATGTTAAAGAGTTTTAATATATAATAATTACATTCTAAACCATACTATTTCGTGAGTGCACAATTCAATTTCTGTAGTGTTTCATCTGATGCAAACAGTCCAATTGGTTATCACTGCAAATCTTGTAAAGCAGCATGTAGTTAGTACATGCGGTAATGTAACCTCCTCACCTGTAATGTTTACATGCGTAATATTAAAATTATTTGCTAATTAATAATTCACGTGAAACTCTCGATCTGCATCTCATTTCCGAGTCCGTTACTGTCCAGTGGATGTCGCATTTCAGTCACGAACACATGCTTTTAAAGCCATTTTGACTGAATGAATTAAATACACTGTTTTCCAGCAGGCCACGAGGGGTGTGAAAATAGAATTGGCTAAACTGGCATTGGGCAAGAACCAAAACAACGACTGCCTTCCGTCACACGTTTTCAAAGCAAATTATCTGACTTCAGCATTGTTTTTTTTAGATAAACAATTATGTTCACTTCTTAAATATCTTTAAACATTTTATGATATTTTTATGCTTTAGAAGAGTCAAATTTTACGTACAGCACCTTTAATAATTGTGTTGGTTCAAAGTCATTTTTTTGGAGTGTACTATAATAACAAATACCAAACTGTGGCTTAATCTCTGGAATGAATGCTATAAATTGCACAGTCATTACTACAATCCAGTGTGTACTTCCAGTCAAAGCTCATGACGTTGATGTGTGACTGAGATGCATTAGGCAGAGGCACGAGTAAACAAAAGTGTTAATCATCTCAGCGGCGTGAGCTGTGAGGAAGCTGGAGATTTTCTCTCCCTGAAGGTGAAGGTCACAGACAAGCAGACCATTTCTTTCCAAAACCTTCCCAAAATGCCTCAACCTCGTGCTGTATTCGCCAACTTCTAATGCCACCCACAAGCTATTATCACACTTTTTCCTCTCTAAAGGTCATTTTCTTTTTATAAAATATATTTAGTTCAGTCTTACGAAACGTCCCTCTGTGACACAAGCTTTGGCTTGGGACTGATCTCATCTCCTTAAGTCAGGCTAAAGCCCTCAGAGCCACCTGTCCATCACAGCAGTGTGATTACATGCTCTCCTTACGGTTCTTGAACTCAACCAGTTATATCTGCAGAGGTTACTGCTCTGCTTCATTACAACACATTTACATTGTATATTTTGGAAAATTTAGAGCACTTAAAAAAATTACCATCACCCAAACAAGCTAGGTCAATAAAAAATTTCTCTAAAAGATAAATCAATCCAACTTTGGGTCATTTTTTAACCCAGTGGCTGTTGTTATCCATATCTGACCCAAAGTTAGGTTGAAGCAAGTTTTTTATGGATTCTGAAGTAACATTGAACTGCAATGGACAAATGTAAATATGATAAGGCAAGAGAGAGAGAGAGATTTCATTGCTGCCTTTATTTATTTGTATTGGCAATTACAGGTTAGCAGTGTCAAGCAAACATTGAAAAATTGGCACAAGAAACAAAAAAGGCAATCTTGACACTGCATAACAAACAAAACAACACATAACTATTACATATCTGAAAAAGTTTCGTTTTCTTTAAAAACATGGTATAAAAATATGATCATATATTTAAATAAATATACCTTGCAACATAATTCACAGTTCATTAAGTGTCTTCAAAATATCTGACTTTTAAAGCCTTCATAATCTTCTGAGAGTAAATCAGTCAGCGTAAACAAACAGAAATGGGCTTCAGACTCTACAAAGAGTTGATTCTCATTCATTTAAAATAGCTATTTCCAAGAAACATTTTGGAACATTTACAAGTAAAAAAAAAATGATCACATTTTTTCTTTGCAAGAAAATGTTCCAAAAGCACACATTTTGGTTTCATTTGTGATTTTAATGTGCAAAGGGACCGCTTGAGCTAATGGTAATCCCAAAGTACACTTCCACATTTCTTCATCAGAACAACATGCTCAATATTTGGTGACTGCTTTTATGATATGATTTGCAGATGTTTTGTACTACATAGATTGACCATTTGGTGTCAACACTCAACAAAATGGTCCTTTGACAACAAACTACTGAAGATGGGAAAAACAATAGACTACGGCTCTGCGGCATTAATCTTTCTGTGTGGCCCAATCCCAATTTTACCCCTTAGCCCTTCCCCTTATCTAGCTATTAGCCCTATGCCTTCAAGCTAAACAGAATTGGAACACACCTATCTTTTCACATGATTGCACAAAACGAAGGGTTGTAGTGTCACAATTCTGAAGGCATAGGGCTAGTGGGAAGAGCTAGATACCCCTTGAAACAGACATTTCCCAGAATACACCATCTACAGCAGCAGCATGGCTGCACACAGAAGTAAGGAGATGCACAAATTAGCATTTTTCGTCATTACTATGCATTTTTACAACAAACAAGCATACACTGAAAAAAATAACTCTTAAGATTTACTTTAAACAAAAGTCCTCGGAACATTTTTCACAAACAAATTTCAAGTAAATTTTACACTCTTATATCAGGTACAATTAACTTGTCAATACCTTGTAAAATTTATCTAATTTATTTAGGAGTGTTAGGTTAAACATTAAGTAAAAGTTAATTGATTATCTTTACTTTTGAGTCTTTATTTATTTAAATGAACCAAGTAATGTCATGTTCTTGTATTAGCAGAAGGAACATTGCTTTTATCAATTTAAATAAATCTTATTAGTTACAAATTAGTACATTTGGTGCAACTTGTTTTAAATTAAGACACACATTTTCATTTGAAATGTGTTATGTCACTTTATTTTAAGCAAATATATTTAGCAAGAGCAACTTTACTTTATAAATGCTTAATGATGTCAGCGCTAGTGTTAGCACAAGCTATAATCTTCTGAGTGAAGAGATAAACATTAATGCTGATAATAAAAATGGCAAGACGCAAAGCTTGAGTGCTGCTCTTCTGTAAGGTGGTAAAAACGTGTGCTTTTATTTTCAAAATACTGTTCTTTTAATTCAATCCCTTGCAAAGCATGCTGGGAACTATCCATTGCTACATGGTTTGCGATGTTTAGAAAATATTTAAATAAATAATTAATATTTAACTCTTTCCACTCATTTAATTTATTACATGAAGTAACTGTGTAAATATTAAATATGTATTTAGTATATTAGTTATCCTTAACACTATTACAATATAAAAATCATGAGTCAATTCATTAGATTTGACTAAACTAAAAAGTCATTTCTTTCAGTGCATGTTTTAATACATTCATAACGGCATTTTATCATTATGATTAAAAAACACTAAAATAAAAACCGCAAAATTTCGCTATCAATAACCAGCCTGATCTCACGAGGAAACGTATGTATTTTACGTTTTGTCAGTTTAGTGGCTAATTTGTACGAATTTGTACGAGTTCAGTCATACGAAAATGTATGATTTTAAAAAGGAGGCATGGCACCCAACCCCACCCCTAACCCTAATCGTCATTAGGTGACGGACAAATCGTATTAAATTGTACGAACTAGATCGTACGAATTACCCACTAAATCAAAAAGTTACAAATTGCCGTAAGATTGTGTTACCATAATCCATAATATAAACTCCTGTACAGTAGGCCCACAACATACTTTCACATCTGACACTCAATAACACTCGAATAGATAAATATGGCCACGGAGTAAATGTACAATACATTTACGATCTTATTGCTACATTATATCATTATGATAACATGTATGTGCCTTTAGTGATTTCCTGAAAATAAACAGCAAAAAATAACACAACTGGAATAACTACAGCAGTCACAATCATCAATCTCATATGAACAAGAGATTGCGATGACTTGATGATGTGTGCAGGTGTTGTAGTGGTGTCCCATTTCTTAGGGGTACATTTCGGTAAATTTTCACACTTTGTTTTAAGGAGAAGAGGTACAAAAATAGAATTGGGATTGGGCCTATATGTGCACGCTCTCAAATGTAGTATAGTTTAAAGTTTGTACCCGTTTGCAAATAAAGAAGTATATTCTTTATCCTTTTAAATATCAATTTTAGACTTTTGACTTATACAACACAAGATACAAAAGAGTATCACATATAATTCTCATCGAATGTGTAACTTGTTCTTAATTATCCAAATCAAAAACAGCTCTGTAATAAAACGTTACCTTATGCTCTAAGGGTAACAATGCACACTTGAAAAGAAAAATGGAGTAATGAAAACACTCTTTGTAATTAACATAATTACAAAATGACATTCTCTGGCAAATCTGTTAACAGTGAAAGGAATCACTGTGTAATTTTAGTAAATAATAGACAAAATCACAATATAATAAGTAATGAAATGCCTTACAGTGGGTATTTTGTGCTAACTCTGTGCTAGTTACAATCAACTGCATTATCTACATCTTATTTTTATTCAGATTATTTGTGCATTAAGACATTAAGTTGTTGTATTTTTAAAAAGACATAAAATATCTTCCTAACTAGATTTAACTGCTGAAGCAGGTTTAAGAGGACATCGATGTATTTTATAGTTTGTAATATCTAAATTAATGACTCGTATTCTTCAAGGATGTGCACTTGTGCTTTTGTGTACATCAACATTATGACTTGATAATGTACCGTAGTCTAAGTTTCTTCAAGTGTCATGTGTATACATTGATATGAAATATATTCAGAAACATTCATTATTACTTTCTGTGATGGCATTTTTGAATATAGTAATAGTAAACTGAAATATGTTTCTGTATATTTGGTAAAATATTCAAGTATAGGTAAATATATTAATCATTTAAGTTGATTTTTTAAGAACTATTTACTACTTCTTGTTTGAGTGAAGAAGATAAATAATTTTTGAAGATGAAAATTAAATAATATTGCTCAAAAATATCCACTAAGATTTTTAATTGTCAAATAGTCGGTCTTCACAGAGCTCCAGTGGCCCCTTTGAGGCTCCACCGAACACTTCGATGTTACTGTCGGTCCAGGACACCACGTTTCCAGGCATGTAGGATGAGCAGTTGGCCATAGTTATGATATCCGTGGAGCGCAGGACCCGATCCCAGATGTTAAAGTGGCTCAGTTCCCCCACAAAGGCCTGGGTGGCATCGAAACGCCCCCCTACTACATCCTGTTGAGGCCATAAACGACAGGCCTCGTTAAGACAACAACAATAACTTCTTTTATTCGCTCTTAGAGGATGTGCATGCTAACTCTACGACATTGTTTTCTACCTAAGGTCAAGTTTTATTTAAAGTTAAACTTCATGAGTCAGTGGCTCTGTTGTGCAGGGGCGGCATAATATTACAGTTACAGTGCAAATGTGAAGTGTGAGGTCTGGGAATGCGAGCAGAAAGTGCTGTATCAGCCCTGCTACTGTTCTCACCTGCTCTTGGCCCAGGATGAGGACTCCTCCAGGCTTGATAGGGTGCCAAGGGGCTAGATTTTCCCCTGAGCCCAATCTTTGGCCATCCTGGTAGGCTTCCCAAAGCCCATCCCTGGTAGTCCAAGTGATGCAGACATGGTGCCACCTCCCATCGCTCAATGAGAGAGGTAACTGTGCCACCTATTTCACAGCAAAAGGTTACTTTCTTTCTTTTGTGAAAGACAAAGTTTTGTTTTTCCATGAAAAATAAATATCAACGGCAGGGCTCAACAATAAGGACTGTCTGATGGCACGGGCAAGCGTGAGAGACGCTCGGGACAGTAGACAGGATCGTTACTGGCCTGATTGGGCCAGTTCTGCCTTGTCACTAAAGTATCATTTTTAAATAATGTGACTTTGTCAATTGCATGCAAATACAGTCTTAAAATCAAGAAACTTTTGTGCTTTTAAGCCTTTAAATGTTAACCTTCTGCGAGATGTCCTAAACACCATACTGCTTTTTTATTCCTCTTATCTGATTAGATGTTTTGAGTGTCTTATTTTTTTCCATAACATGATAACAACCAGTACAGCGAAGAGGCAGCAACATCAAATTATAGGGTTAAAAGAAAACGTCTGTGTTTAACGTCTTGGAAGCAGACATTTAAATGAAGTGATGTTTTGCACAGTTTGCCATCAGTTTAGCAAGTCAGCCACCTTGTTTTAAATAATGTAGAACTGTAATAAACCTGCACAGTTTTCATACTGATCTTTTTGTTTGAATAAAACTTTGAATTTTGCTCATTGCACATTTATTAACATTTAAAAATATTTAAACTCTAGATTCACACATGTTATTTTTGATACGTTATTTAAAATTAGTGGTTAAAAAATAGCTGTTAACTTTTTTTTTTTTTTTTTTTTTTTTTTTTAAATTTTGGGCAGGACAAGTAAAAATCTCAACCACTGGTCCAATCAGGCCAGTGGAAAAAATCCTTAGCGCTGAACCCTAAATGGTATGACTTTGAAGAGAAACATTTAATTTTTACATTTTTTTTAAACTTAATTTACGGATAGTTCACTCAAAAATGATAATTAGCATCATTTACTCACCCTTATGTGGTCAAACTATTCCTCTGCAGAACATTAATGGTTGTTGGTGTGCTCTAAAAACTGCCGGGTTGTCTCAATTTATGCCAAATATGGACAAAACCAATTTTTACATTTTATTTGTCGAATTTAAATGAACTATTTATCCTAATGGATTTTGGATTATTTGAACCCAGTATTGTCTGCACCAGTAGTCTTTTTGTTAGTGTGTCGACACACATAGCACTACAGTTTTCCATTTGCAGCTGAAGGTCCTTTTGCTGATCGTTATCCTATGTTCGTACTCCTGCATTTTTAGAGTGTAAACATTGTTTTGTTTCTTGATTTTCTTTTTATTTTAGACATTTTTTTAACATTTCTAAATTCGGTAAAAGGTTTAGTAAATTATGGCAGAATTGTCATATTTGGATGTATTACTCTTTAACACACAGTAAAATTTACTCAGTTTGGATAGTATTTGGTTCCTCTTTAAATTGAGTTAATGTTACTCAAGTCAATGAGACACTGACTACTCTTACATGGACATCAGTAATTGAATTATTTGCTTAAATCTAAATCTAAATTAAGAAAATAAAAAGACTAAGGTGTTTACATGGGTTGCTTTTTGAGTGTTATTTTCATGACCGCGTTTTACATGTTATGGCACATAATTCGATTAATGTCACTGGGCTCTATTTTGACGATTCATGCGCAAAGTGCAAAAAGCAATAAGCAATAAGGCCGTGTCAGAATCCACTAATTTAAGGACGGAAAAATCCGCTTTGCACCGCATGATCTAAAAGGGTTGACCTTATTTTTTTAATGAGTTATAGGTGAGTTTTGAGAATAAACCAATCAGAGTCTCATCTCCCATTCAGTTGCATTGCTTCATAACGCACTTGATATTTACATGACGGACTTTGTAAGTGGAAAAACTGAGCATTTCACTAGCAAGAAAACAAGTAAACAGAGCATCTGCAGCGCGAGAATGAGAGATAAGGCCTTCTCATTATCTACTTTCACTTTTGCTCTTGTAGATAGGGAAACCTTGTACGCACAGACATCAATTAGCCTATAAATAATTAATTTCATTTGTTAAGCACAAAGATTTGTTTCAAAACAATTTCTAAATTCAGTTCTAATTTCCAGCAAACGAATAAATGAACAATAATAATGTGGTCAAAAAACTGAGTTATACACACATGCTGTGTGTATAATCTAAGCTTGTTTTTAATAAAAACAAATATACATATGCATATAATAAATAATACTGCTAATAATGATAACATTATACAAAAGCAAATTGTTATGAATAAATTGAAAAAGCACACCGAGATGAAGAGGCATAAAAGTTTGGTTTTTATATTTATGTAGGCTAGAAAATAAAATGTTTTTAATACTTTAATCATTTATATTTATATCCTATAGGCTATATATTTTTATTATATCCAATATATATCCTTAATATTTTAATTACTTTTCATTTGTAAAGATATTTGCGTATTGCTGTAAACCCTGTCTGTATTAAGCAATGTGTAAGCGAGGCGCACAACACCCACGCACTCTGTTTGGCACTTTCACTTTCACTGGGGGGTGTATGTGTGTGGACTACCCTGACGCAAAAAGCGTCGAAAAGTCTTACATGACGATAATAGTTCGATTAGGGTGTTTACTTGTCTATACTGCACTTCAATAATGCGACTAAAATCGGCATACTCCACATGTCTTAATCTGACTTCTCTTTAGTTCTGACCTTATTATGACCTTCATCTGATTAAATTAATCTAAAAAAAATCGCTGTTTACATGGTAGACTCTTAATCAGAGTATTGTCTTAATCGCATTAAAATCAAATGATTGATGTTCACGTAAATGTAGTCAATGAAAGGATTAATACAGTAATGATTGAGAACTGATGAATACCTATTGTTATTAGGCAGAAACACAGGAGAGAAAAACAAAACTACTACTGAATTTAGTCACAGCCTTAGATGAAATCAGCTGAAATATAATACATCGAAGCTCTCAAAATCTCAGCAGAGGATCAACTTGATCAATAAGCAACTTCACAAACAGCAGCATTACCTATTACTAACCTGCTTGCCTTATTATAAAGAGGGACCAAATACTCTCTGAACTGAGTCAATTTTACTTAATGGATTACACTAATGGTGCATCAGTGTATAATCCTAAATCTCAATTGCACTTGTGATTTTAAACTTTTGATGACATGTTTCCAGGTGGCATGACTGTAAAGGTGTTAGGAGTCTATGGTGTCAATCCTCATAGAACGCGTCCACACAGTATTTTTGGGGGGAATTTAGAGTTTAAAGCTGCATTATATAAAGAGACTGACAGTGAAAAAAATATTTAATTATTAATCTGTTTTTCTTACAAATCAGAAAGGTTGGAATATAATACCCAAGTTATATTGGACAACTTTTATGCAGCAATGAATTGTAGCTTGGAAGCATAAATCAGCATTCAGAACGTAATTGTTTGTGTTTGACAAGTCAAATTTGACTTACCTTGTCATTGATGAGCAGTTCTATAGGGTTATGGCCCCATTCGATTAGTACGATCTCGTTTGCCTGTCCAGGCACTCCATAAGAAAAAGGGGTTCCAATGCCAGGGCTTGAACCTGACTTGAGCCACATGCATATAGTGAAGGCGTACATTTCAGGCAGGCTTTTCTTTACTTGTCCAAAGAGGTAATTTGTGCGAAGAGGAAGAGAAATCTTGAAATTCTCTGGTGATTTGAATCCAGCTCCTCCTAAAGCCAAAAGTGTTATTCGTTATTTCGTCATCTCTGAAAGGATACAGAAATACGCTGATGATCACAAAACAACTTCATTGCTCCATCGGCATTGGAAAGTAATGAGGTGTCAGACTGTTTCAAATAAAACATTAAAAAGTTTCTTCATTTAAAAATAAAAATCATCATTTACTCAGCCTCCACTTGTTCCAAACCTGTTTAAGTTTCTATTATCTGTTGAACACAAATAAAGATATACTTCCATTGTATATTTTGTTGTTAGTTGCTGCTCTTTCTCAATATTCTTCAGAATATCTAATTTTGTGTTCAGAAAAGAAAGAAATAACTTGAGTGTGAGTAATTGGTAAGAATATGGTTATTTTGGTGTAAACTATCACTTTAAGAAAAATAATGAGGACAGCTTTGATTGATAGAGGAAATCAAGAACACTAAAGCGCATAAAATGGGAATGTTTTGGGAATTTTATACATTTTTTAAAGCTAAAAAAACTCTTGTAAGTTGGAAAAGAACATAGGAATATTTAGTGCAGACCTTTCTCTAGTTCAGAGATTCTGTTCATGAGAGAGTTGAGGGTATTATCTGTGCGCTGGCGATGTGCGACTGTCTCATTATAAAGCTGGGACTTTTCTTCCTCCAACTCATTGACCTTCTTCAGCAGCTGGTTCTCCAAGTCCTCCAGTCGATGCTGCAGTAGATTTCTCAGCTCATTAGGGAAGGAGGCACCAGAGGCATTGGCTCGCATTTGCTGTTGCTTTAAAAGTTAAACAAAAAATAAATTACAAGGATGATTGTGGATATTTTATTAAGGTACAGAATTCAATCTGCATTAAATATTAAAATAAAATATAAAAAAATATATAAAAAATGTATTTTCCAAGACCCATCTATTAAATGTTTTTACATTCAAAAATCAAGTTTAGGTGTCAAGCTTCTTTAAGTTTGACAATATTTAATAGATTTTTTTTTTTGTTAAGTAATTTTTATGTATGATTTTTCTGTTTGAAAAAAAAATCAAATCAAAGATTCTTACTGACATTGAGCAACCTGTAGCATCTATTGACTATTTTTATTGATACAGGGAAAAAAAGGTTTAGATGATTAAATTTGTACTCTAGAAATAAAAAGAAATTTAAAGAACTATTCGATAAAAAGTTTATAAGGCACTGTCATCATTTGTTTGCATGTTTTATATTTTATTTTAGATGAAAACATAACTGGTTCCTGATTTCTTGAAAGAAATCAGCATGATGAAAATAAAATAATGCAGTAGTTTTATTTTTTAAATAACAGTAATTTTACAGTATCTAATTCATTATTTCTTAAAATGTATAAAATGATTAATATAATTATAACAAAACTCTAATCTCTAAAAAACCTAAAATGTGTTCTTAACCCTCTCAATGCAGGCGTTGCTGATTTGCAACAGTTAAAAGCATAGATTTTGCCTGTTTCTAAAATTTAATTTGAGCCTGAAAGGGTTAAAGATGCACCGACTATAATAAATGAAAGAATTTCTGTAAATAATTACTAAAAAAATTATTTACTATACTGAAAAAAAAATCATGAGGAGAACATATTTGTATAGTTTTTATTTATTTATTGTAAGACTGAGGTGAGTAAAAACATTTTTAGACTAGACTAGAACATTCTTCATTTGAACCAACAGGTGAAAACATGCGTGACTCTTGATTCTGTCAGAAAAATCGATGAGTCTTGTAAAAAATCATGTAATCTAACTGAAATATTTAATAAAATGGATATGGTCATCTCTAAATCACTGAAAAGCCAATAAATGTCCGGCATAACCAATATTAATAAATCTGTACTAGAAAAAAAAAAAACACTAGAAATATTTGGGGTGGACAAAAATGGGTATCCTGTAGTGTTGCTGTAAATCCCTCTTGTAGAAATATTTACTTTTAAAAGTCTACAAAAATGACTATAAAACTATAAAATATATAGTTTTACCTATTTATGTCTTTTTAGGGAAAAAAGAGGCTTCACAGAAAAAGGTGAGTAAAAACATCTTCACATTAGACTAGAACATTCTTTATTGGGACCGGCAGGTGAAGACATGCGGTCTTGTTTCTTGATTCTGTCAGAGAAATCAATGAGTCTTGTAAAAAAATAAAAAAAATAAAAATAAAAAAGCATACTTTACAATCATAAATTATTTATTATTTTTTATATTTACAATAAATATTAATTAAAATGGATGTGATGTTAATGATAATTTCAAAAGGATTTGCTCTCTGAATCACTTAAAAGCCAAAAATGTCTGGCATAACCAATATTAATAAATCTTTGCTAATAGGACAAAAAGAATGTCCCATAAAGCATTTTCATTTCACAAAATATTTAAGTGTTCTCTTTACTAGAAAAAAAAAACACTAGAAATATTTGGGGTGGACAAAAATGGGTAATCTAGTGTTGCTGTGAATCCCTCTTGTGGGAATATTTACTCTTAAAAGTCTACTAGGAACTAGAAAAATATATATGTCTAAATTCTATCTTTATAGGAAAAAGAAGCTCTGCAGAAAATTAGTATAGGACTTATTAACCAAATTATTTTGACAAAAATCCCTTAGAAATCCTAATAAATATGGGATGCATGATTTGTAGCTTATAGGTCTACAGTTCCATCGTTTGCACACAGTCAGATTAACACCTAACATTTAAGTGGCACTGACACATTGCCGACATTTTGTCGCTTGGGGCATCATAAGTAACTTTGGCATTTGTGGTTAAGGGATAGAGACGTTCTAACTAATGAGATAATCCCATCCTGTAAATCTTCAACGCCTCCACATAATTACCAAAATAGTCGTGGCAGAGAAACATCCAGCACAGTGTACTGTTAGTCATTTAATCTCTTTATGCTTAACGTTAAGTGTCAAAAATAAAATAAAATATAATAAAATAAAATGAAGACTCACCTCTAAATTTTCCAGTCGATCTTTTAAACCCTGCATGGTCTTTCCAAGAACGTCAATGGTGTCATTTGGATCTTTAGGCACATCATCCATTGTGTCCTTATTCATTTTCCGGAATATTTCCGATTCAGACTCACATCGTGAAAGTTTAGAAGTCAGTTCTTTAATTGTTCCCAGCTGGTTGACAATTGTCTCCTTCTGCTGCAAGATTGTCTCGCGGAGCTGCATGACAGTGTTTCTCAGTTCCTCCTCCTGAAGAGATGCGCTCGGGACAGGCACGGGGCAACTTGTGTCCTGGTCAATGGGGACTGCAGTGCACAGAAAACGCTCCCCTTTCTCGGTTTGTCCGTAAACAACTTTGACACACGTAAGTCCATAGACGCAAATGAGTCCGGCGATCAGATGAAGCATTTTGTAACGATGTAGTGGCAAGCGCGCGCTGAGAGGTTTATTAATCTGTATGAGAATGTAATATTGCGTTGAGTTGCAAAACTTACCTTAAACAACACTTAGCGAATAAATAATTTTCATCTGTGGATATTAGTGATGATTATCCACTGGTCTTTGAATCACAGACGCCGCGTTTCTCACTACTGCTGCTGACAAGAAGAGCGACGCCGTCAATAATGAACTTCAGAGTCTCGACCAATCGGATTGGCTGTAGTAGCTATTAACGTCACTGTTAGAGAGCTATAGAGTAGCTGTAAAATAATTTTCGAAAAAAAAAATCTTTTTTATTAAATAAAGAAAAGGTTGATTTATATATAGGCCTTTTTCTTTTTCTTTTGGCTAACAACACTGAAAACTTTTTTGCAAGATTTTTATTTTTATTTTGGCAAAACAATTACAATTTGCTCTAAAAAGACCTTTGCTTAAAAAGTACAATGAAAAGCATTGTATGCTTACTTTATATATAAAATTATATATTACAAATTATTTTGTTTGGTTTTATTAATTATAAAAAGAGACTTTACAAATTAAGAAAGTTTATTTATTTACTTAATTTTCTTAATCATAAATGTGAACCTCTTTTTTATATTTTGCTTCCTGAAGTGCAACATTACTTTAAGATTATATCTAAGTCTCTTACCAAAAAAAGCTTTAAAAAAAATGTTTCGTAAATTCCTTTAACAGGCCCTTGGCCAGGGTGGAGTTCGGGTTGTTGGAAAGACCTAGCCTTCACTGACAAAGGTCCATAATTTGTCCAATACGCTCATTTTTTTACTATTATTTTGACTGCTATGCATAATGAATTGTGAAAATAACCAATCAAAAAAAAAAGGCTTTAAAACCAAGCAGAATCTAATGTTCGCTGTCGGTACAGAATTTGCGATACCTTGGCAATTTACACAGCAGAGTAAAGTTACTGTTACGTGAACCGCATCGCCTTTCTAATGATATATGATGTAATAAATTGGTATTTTAAAAATAAGTATTGTATTTTTTGTATATATAATATTGCATTATTTCTTTATTCTAAATCTTTGGGAAATGTTTTTGGTATATAAAAAAGTGTGATTATGATGACTATTCGACAAGCTAATCTAGCAAAAAAAAAAGTGCTTAAAATGCAGTACTTGAACCTCATAATTAAATAGAAAATGAGGCCCATAACTGCAAAAAGGTCCACTTTGTGAGAACAAAATACCACCCCTTTCACCAGGCTGGCTATGGGCTTGTTTAATGTATATTTTATTTATATACATTTTCACGTTTCTGGTGTTTTTATACATACTGCATTAAAACAAATAAAACTAATTGTATACCATTGAGCAAATTTTTGTTTAAAAAATGTTAAAAATAAAAATAAATAATTAGGTAAGACATAACCTCAGGTAGCCTTAATACAAAAGTCAGCAATAAAGTTTTATAGCTTTTACATTATAGCTCAGGAGTTTTTACTCCAGAGTCCGAGGACCTTCAACCACAAGGTCACTCAAAAAGCAAGAATAAAACATGAAAAACAAAAGAATTATTAAATATTTGAATTATTACAATAAAACCAAGCTAATCTATCTTTTTATTTAAATAAATAAATAAAAACATAATTAATCTTTTTTGCTTTAGTGTGTACTTTTAGTGTTTTCCTTGTTCCTGCCTGATGTGTTTATCTTTTTATTATCTGTTGAATTACTGTTTGTTTGAAGCTTGTCCCAATCTTAGCCAATTTACTGAATTGCTATTTTGGATTACCCTTTTTTACAAAAAGAAGCTTTAATGAAGAACTAATCAAAAAAAAGCTGTGGTAAACTGAATAAACTGATAATGGGATAACTTGTTGATAGGGACTAGACAATAGACAGGAGAGCACATGGCACAAAAACAATAACACAAGCCCTGTACTCACATTAACAGGACAAGAACACAGGGCCAATGAGAGCACAAATTAACTGCATGTACACGTGAAACAAAACACAAAAGCATATGGCCGCATGTAAACATGAGCCACATACATACAAGCCAACACAAAACTAAAGACAAGAGACACAGACGCACAACAAGTGAAAGAACACCCACCGTGCACCAAAATACATGGCATAGTTGTTCAAGCCTCTGCACCAATTTGAAGCACCAATTTGAAGAGCACACCACAAACAACCAACGTGTATAAAAAGATAAGAGCGTGCAACCTGAACACGGCCGAGATCACACCTGCATCAAGAGATTAGAGAACGCTCAAGATTACAAGACATAAGTGGCCTGACACTAGCACCCCAAAAAGGGACAGAGACACAACCTTGCATCCACATAGGGAACATTGATCAAGATGGTAAACACAGGACAGCCAAGAAACACCACATGACAAAACAGTCCAGGGTGGGTCGAGTGGGTCAGGGAACCTGCCAGTGAGCCAAGATGTAGCTGGAGGAACAGACCAGGTTGGATCAGGAGGGGTGATCCAGGGATGATCAAATAACAGGGAAGGGTAAAGGCTGATTTATACTTTTGCGTCATGCGCATGCGTATGCTGCAGGGCAGCCTTCACGCGGTCGCATACCCCTCGCCTTCACCGGCACTGATGTGCACGTCTCAAAAAATTTAACTACACATCACAACGACACATAGCGCAAGCTCTGTGATTGGCCGGCTTGGTAGCACTGACAAATGTGGGCGAGGGTTAGAGCCGTGCAAACTCATTGGAGCAAGTGTTTACATGTGTGAAGTCCCATGGAGTCCCATGGTTATTGCAAAGCAACACAAACAGGCTGCAGAAGTATAAATGCACGGCAAATGCAAGGCATGCACTGTGGGTCACGCCCATCACTCGACACAAAAGTATAAACGAGGCTTTACAGGGATGGAGTCTTTATGGGGACAGGAAAGGCTGGAGGCCTGACAATAGTGGGCATGGCTGGAGGCCTGTGGGGAGCCAGCAGGACAAGGAGCCTACCAGGCGCAGGTATGGCAAGGAGTCTAGGTGGTGCAGGAAGGGCACGAAGTGGGACTGGGGCCGGGAGAGTAAGGAACTAGTTCTAATACTACTTCAGGTAAAGAGCCTGGGTGTTCATGCATGGTAAGGAGCTGAACTGAGAATGGCAAGAAAAGAAGCTTGATTAGTGCAGACACTGGGCCATGTTCAGGTGCTGGAGCCATCACTGGTGAGCGCTCTGGGGCTGAAGTCATTGGCGGGTGCTCTAAGGGTGCTTTCACATCTGTAGGTCGCTTCATTTGGTCCAGACCAAATGAAATAAATGATACACTGTTGCAATTTCTGCCGTCTTTGGTTCGTTTTCATACCACACTGCTGGCTTTGGTCCTAAGCAGTTGAAAAGAACCAAAATGCCCTTATCTGACAAAATCCACATCTCTAATTGGCCAGATGTTTTTGAACATAATTTCTGAACTGCTTATCGTTTGGTTAAAATTCACCTGTGGGAAATTGCCAATGAACTCCTGCAAATAAACAAACCGTCAGACACAAAATGTCGCTTTTCACTATGGAGGGACGACTCTGCTGACTAATTGTATCCCTGCTTTAGACACTCCTGCTTTATACATTTCGAGAATAAAGCACGGCTGCGGCTGGAAAACAATGTTTTAATGCATCGCTTGTCACTTCAGGAGGAGGTGTGAATTATTTTAGCTAAACTGCGACATGGTCATCTTGCGGAAATAATACAAACAATCCATCAGGTAATGTTTTTCCTCTCTCTCTGTTGGTAAAGCACTGTCAACAAATATTTTCCTCCATATCCCATAATGCACAGCGCATCAGCCTATGGCAGCTGGATTAGTGCAAAAGGCAAAGTACTTTTTGCTGGTTGGGTCTGTTTTAGTTCGGATCATATTTTCACCACAAACGAACTGCTTCAGGGTTCGTTTGAAAGCGTACCGAGACCACCTCTTCAAGCAGGTCTCGGTACGCTTTTTTGGTGTGTACTCGAGTACTATTGCTGCATTCACACCTGCCCAAACGAACCACACCAAGAAGGAAAGCGAACTCTAGTGCGATTCAACCGAACTAAATAAGGCAGGTGTGAAAGCACCCTAAGAATATAGCTGTCACTGCCGGGTTCTCTGGAGTTGGAACCGACACTGTCGGGTGCTCTGGGGCTGGAGCTGACACTGCCAGGCTCACAAAAACTTACAAACTGTCAGAGTGTAATTATCCTCAGCATTCCCATCTCCCAGGGCGGAAGGGGCCTCTTGAGTTTAGTGTTGAAGATCTACTTCAGTGCTGTGGTGGAAATTTCAAGCCATTCTTCAGCATAGGCAAATTGGTAGGCAACCGAAGTCTTCCATTTACGAAGTTCAAGTATTTGCCAGAATGCTCCATCTGCTATCTAGCGAATCAGTCAAATCTGGGGAACATCGACAACGAACTGGCACCAGACAGCAAACACGTGGAAGCTTTAATGAATAATAAATAATACAATTTTTCAACTAATAAAAACTGATAATGGGATAACAAGTTGAGAGGGACTAGTTACTAGACATTAGACAGGAGAATACAATGTACAGAGACAAAAACACAAGCACTGTACTCACATCAAACAACACTAGAACATGTGGCCAATAAGAACACTCGTTAATGTCGTGTTCACATAAGATAAAATTCAAAAGCACACGGCCACATGGAAACATGAGCCATGTGCTACATACAAATCACAACACAAATCACAAGACTGAATGCAAGACACGAGTGCTCGATAAGTAAAACAACACCTAAAACTGTTTTTTAAAATGCATAATTGTAATTCAGGTCTCCGTTTTGTGGGGGAAAAATCTTTTTTTTTCTTTGGAACATCTGGTGGGAACATTTTTTGGTCCTAATAAGAAAAACAGCTTATTCATAAAACGAGTGCAAGTGTAGCTATTATTAATTACTCACTCTCATGTTCCAACAGAGACTTTTGGCACGGTGGTGCAGTGGGTAGCACTGTCACCTCACAGTAAGGAGATTGCTGGTT